AAGAGAGTCCAAACAGAGTGTCCAAGCGCTCAGGGAGTGTATGGACCGGGGGTCCAACTACTCGCGAGCGCTTGGACCCCAGGTCCAAATAGAAGGGGGGTCCAACCACCCTCCAACACCGGCACTTCTTTATCATGAAGAAGTTTAGACAGCTGCTAATAAGATTATTACAAAGACTAAAGTCAGTCCTACACTATTAAGGATCAGCTATTTCATTGCATGCCTCTTATTTCCTTTTCAGGTCTTTGTCCATAAAATGGTTCTGTCGAAGACCGCGGATGATGGACAGGTTGGGTTTGAGGTCGATAACTTTCTTGTATTATATCATTGCAAGCTAAAAGTTTGTACGCAAGTTCAACAAGAACATGGCTACCTCACAGCAAAAAAACCCAGGTCATTATCTACTGTCAGTCAAAAAAATTAATATTACCGTCCCAATATTGATCCGTCCGCCTGATGGTCGTTTACTCTATTTTATTGACGATTCATTTTGTTCAACTATGGCCCATATGATATCTCTATGTATCAGTTGCACCCCTTTGATGACACCATTGTCAGTATGTATTAACATAGATAATGACCTATAATTCTATGGTGCATAATCATGCATTCATGCAGTTGTCATAACATTGACCATAGGCTTTTGAGTCTTATCATTTGCTTTGCCTACTATTTCTATTTTCTGCTTCGTTCCTCTTTGCTTAAAGTGAATGCTACAGGAAAGGCTGCTGCTCCATCTTCTGGTAACTTGGTACGATGACGACAAGTGGGACAAGTAGGGTAGTTGGTCTTATCCAGAGGTAATTCCTCCAGACAGTGCTGACAGAATGAATGCAGACAAGGTAAAGTCTTAGGGTTGATATAGTGTTCAAGACAGATAGGACAGGTGAGCTGTTCCTACAGTTTGAGGAGACCAGATGAAGATGGTTGGGCTGCCATTTAAACAAACTTTAAACAAGGATCAGGCTGCATGGAAAGCATCAATCTTCACAGGATCAGTGTATGGTAGCTGGCCCGAGCTACTTCCTATCTCTGCAGAATTGAGGGAAATTTCAAAAGTTAAGTGATTGCTATAGCCCATTTAATGGACACAATGTCTAAGTAAGTAAGCAGTAAATTATCTTTGTGTAAATGCTATAGGGAGGGCCGCTTCTACAATTCTGTATAATTATAGGTTATAGTTTATTCCGAAAAAAAGACATCATAAAAAAAGAAAGTGTTTCAAATGAAAAAAATTGAATTCAAACACACACACACATGAGACTGTAATTAAGAATAAGCTTCCTAAATGCCACTACAAACTAGAAAATCTATAATAGTAATAATGATTAAAACTCACAACAAAAATACAAAAACATTTAGAATAACTCAACAACTGATTCACGGCTAATACTGAGTCTAACATCAGTAGAACGTGGTACAATTTCTCTCATTTGTTGATCAACAGTTTTATGTGATTCAGTTAAGTCTAAAAGAGGCTCATCATCTTTACCTTGTTTCTTGAATAACTTCTTAATTAGAGCATCATAACATTTCATGTGTGATAACTGCAGGTAAAGATGATAAACAACAATTAAAGCAAAACTGAAAATAAAAAGAGATAAACAAGTATTGTACCAGATCAATACTTTACTCTCATCAGTAAAGGCTATAGATAAAGAAGCCATGATGCACAAGTTTAATAGGAACCAAAATTCAAACATATTGTTCAGTTTCTTTCTGTACACACCACCAAAAATGAAACTAAGGGAGAGGATAATAGCTGCTACTGCCAATAGCAAGATACGTGATTCATTCTTCAAAAAGGTGACAGTTAAAAGTACTGGTATCCTAGCCACTAGGAGTAGACCAGGCCAGAACCGATACTCATCTTTCATTGGACCACTATAAGCATCAATAATAGGCTTGAAATGATTCCAAAATTTTCTAAAAATGAAATTAGAAAGGTACTTCTCATAAAAACGATTAAGTAGAAGGAACAATGTGTATGGTATGATAAAGAAAACAGTCACCAATAGGGCAAATCCAAATAGTCCAGCATGCTTCCCTTTAGCATATTCAACATTAGGATCCTCATACCATAAACTAACTGATCTTACTGACTCATTTGTACAGTGAAGAGTTACCTCACGCTTGTGTAGTACAATAACAATAGTACGTACTAGTTTAGTATATGAGAGAAAAGTA